CCACGTTGGCGAGAGCTGCCATTTCACATGAGAAACGTGAGACACCTCATAAGGAGGGGATTCTAGAGGAGAAAGGATACAGGTATATGTACGGCTTAGTCCCTTCACTGTTTACCTGAAACCATCATAACATTGTTAACCAGCTGTACCCCAATTCAAAATAAAAAGTTAAAAAATAACAACAATAACAACCTCATAAGCTTCCCAAATGTGCAGACATGGTGAGCCAAGGCATCCCTCCCCTTCGCCTTTGGCTGGGTAGGGCTTCAGTTAGAGTTGGAAGCTTGTCAGTCAGGATTCTCAGCTGCAAACAAGAGAATCCACTCCAGCTTAAGCAGAAAGCACTCATATTAATAGTCTCCAGGAAAGCCAGGGAATAGAGCTTCCAGACTATGCCACCCTGGTGGTGGTGGTGGTTTGGTCGTTAAGTAGTGTCTGACTCTTTGAGACTCCAAAGACTGTAGCCTGCTGGGCTCCTCTGTCCATGGGATTCTCCAGGCAAGAATCCTGGAGTGGGTTGCCAATTCCCTCTCCAGGGATCTTCCCAACCCAGGAATCGAACCCAGGTCTCCTGCATTGCAGGCAGATTCTTTCCCAACTGAACTACCATGGAAGCAACCTGGAGCCACACCCAAATTAGCAATGTCTGTCCCCCCAACGGAGCCATTGAGCTCAGTCACAGCAACCTGCATCACCCGAGACACCAGTAGCGCCCCACCCTTGATGCCTTTCCCCTCTAATCAGGCTAAATCTCCAGCCACATCTCCACGTTCACCTCTCTTTCCCCTGAAGAAAAGTCTCATGCCTGAGTACCTGGCCAGTGAGTACAAGTCACGTGTCTGCACCCTGGCTTCAAGGGAGACTGGGAAACCCTGCTACTAGCTTCTTGCTTGGGGACGTGGCATTTAGAAGGTAAAAAATTTCCCAGGCACATGAAATATGATCAGGAGGTGCCAACAGGGGTGTTTTCAGCTCCCATTAAGCACTGGAATGTATATGTTCAGTCACTCAGTCGTGTCTGACTCTTTGCAACCGCATGGACTGTAGGCCGCCAGGCTCCTCTGTCCATGGATTCTCCAGGCAAGAATGCTGCAGTAGATTGCCATTTTCTACTCCAAGCACTGGAAGCCTGTAGCCAAGTCTGCTTTGTTTCCCAAGACTGAATACAGTCAGAGCCTCTATCACCTGTTTCTTACATATTAACAGGGCCACTTTAGATAGACCAAGACCCACTCTGTCTCGGAATGCTTTCCTTCCACTCAGGACCAGCTACATAATTCGCAGGTCCCAGTGAAAAATTAAAGTGCTGAGTTCCTTATCCAAAAATTAAGGATTTAAAGACAGAGCCATTAGACCAAGCATGGGCCTCTCTGAGCATGCGTCCTTGTGTAACTGCGTGGATCACAATGTCTGTCTTTCCTTCTGGTTGACCAGATTTATGTTGTTTGGACACTTGTCTAACCTACTGTTGCTGGACATGGTGAGAAGAGGTGGTAACTCAAGTGATAATCCTCAGTAATAAGATAACTGGTAAGGTCTGGATCCATCTGGAAACCTATCAAAGCTCATTGGGTAGGGAAGGGAGGTATCATAAAATTCTGGGACCTACACAAAGAAGGACAAAGGATGAATGCCAAAGCTGAACTAGGAACAAAAGTTGCTTTGGCAAGCTTTCTGTCTTCATAATGCTGTACTTCTTGTCACGGGATGTGGGTTGTTATGGTGAGTGAACTGGGACAGAAGTGTGAAACACTACACAGAAGGTTTTCTTTCTTTCTTCTTTCTTTCTTTCCTTTTGTCTCTTTCTTCTATAAAACTTTGGTCAGATGTATTCTCCAGAGCTAAAGTAAGACATCCATAACCCGGTATTTCATGACAAAGGATACATGCATTCAACATTTCTATAAAAAGAAAAAAACACCTCAAGGTTCAACCATCCATACCAGGCTTCTCCAAAACCCATGGGGCCTCAGCTATAGAAAGCAAAAAAACACCTTGATGCTGATAATACCTCACGCTCATCTGTACACAGGGAAGGATTCTAGCTATAAGTCTAATTCCCACCTACAGGGCTCAGGTGGTCTGAGTAGGGGTCCAACAATGTCCGCTCTGGGAAGGAGTGATAGAAGGCGTGTTACCCTGACAAGTGTCCTCAAGTGTGCTGAGGTGAGGAGGAGAGATGCAAGTGTAGAAAAAAGGGGAGCCCAGTTTGAGACAAGAGAGACTATTTCTCGTGTCAGAGTATAAGGGAGAAGCAAAAACATAAACGGTAGGTGGAGTGTAGGGCTGGAGATCTCAGAAGACTAAGAAAGTGGAAACAAGAAGAGAGAGTGAGTTCAGAGGTTTCTGGAACAGAATCCAAGATTTTGGTTTGTTTGTTTTGCTTTTTAACATTCCTGGGGACTTATTTAGTGCAGCAGATGGGAAGGCACCCCAACTCGAGTCAATCCACCTGGTTGTAACACTTCCCCTCCATGACTAACTGGGCGACCTTGAAAAAAGTGATTTAACCTTATCAAGCCTTGATTTTTTCATCTGCAAAGATTAGACAGTAATGGGGATGAGATAGTATGAGATAGTAATGAGAATTATATGAATTATTAAAGTAGATAACAACGACTGGTTTTTGGTAAGAATTCAAGAAATACTAGGCGTGGTGATGGTGATGATGATGATATTGAAGTTTACGAAGACGGTGATGATGATGGTGATAAAGCTGACTGATATTGATGGTCAAGGAACCTGGCCTCTCCTGAATCCTGGAGTGAGCACGATGGGGACGGGTGGATGAGGGTGTGGACCCCACAAGAGAGGGATAGTGGTGGGCGATGAGGAGGAGCCAGGGGAGAAAGAGACGGGCAGACAGGGAGTGACTAGGAGACCTGTGATCATCGCCAGTGAGACAGGCCCAGGGCAGCATCTCAGCTGCCCTCTAGAGACACACGAGGTTGAATCGTAAACACATGTTATACACAATGACCGTCAGACTCTGGGCAAGGGTTTACAAAAAAATGGAGTGGAGTCAGGAGGAAGAGAGAGCCCTGCTCTCAGGTGAGCACATTCGAGGACCAGCTCTGCCTGCGATGGGCAGTTCTTTTTCTCTCCGGAGGGTTACAGGAAATGACAGAAAGTGAAAGCTCCCATTACCACTTGTGGGCACCGGGGTATCAGATTACGCTGGTTCTCACATCTGAACCTCCCACACCCGATCTCTGTGAAAAAAATAAGGAGCAAGAACAGGGAAGTGTTTGTGACAACTTCTGGTTTTGTTTTCTTCTTCTGGAAATGTTGTGTGTTGCGTTAAATGACCAGACACAGAAGCAGGTTTATTTTTCTTTTCCTGATTAGAAAAGGGATGTGAGCTTATTAGAGAAAATTTGAAAACACGAAAGGTCAAAAATCAAGAAGAGGAATCACTGAGAAGACTATTCTGCAGAGATTACCGCTCTGCATTGGGGCTTCTTTTCGATCCTTGGGTCGGGAAGATCCCCTGGAGAAGGAAATGGCAACCCACTCCTGTGTTCTTGCCTGGAGAATTCCACGGACAGAGGAGCCTGCTAGGCTATAATCCATGGGGTTGCAAAGAGTCAGACATGACTGAGCGACTAACGCTTCCTTTCATTCATTTTGCTCTTCAGTTCCTAAGTCGTGCCTATCTGTGACCATGGACTGCAGACACCAGGCTTCCCCGTCTCTCACCATCTCCCGGAGTTTGCTCAAATTCATGTCGAGGCAGTGACGCCATTTCATCCTCTGTCGCCCCCGTCTCCTCCTGCCTTCAGTCTTTCCCAGCACCAGGGTCTTTTCCAATGAGTCGGCTCTTCGCATCAGGTGGGCAAAGTATTGGAGCTTCAGTTCCTGCATCAGTCCTTCTAGTAAATATTCAGGATTGATTGGTCTGATTCATTCATTTAAGTATGTATAGGTAATACACACACATTGATGTGTTACATTTGTATTTTATTTGACAAATGGATCATATGAGAAACAATTTTATGTCCTAGGTCTTACACTTATCATTGGCATTTTTTATATGGCATGAAATGTTCTTTGAAAATGATTTATATACAATGAAATGACTCCTTTGCAGGCAATTCTGAAGAAAACTGGAAGGAGAGTTGACAAACACATAGATCCCTGTTACCACCACCACAGGCAAGACCAGAACCATCTGCATTCCCACGAAAGCCCCCGCAGGGCTCCTGTTTAGTTACTGCCTTCTCCTGTCTTAACGCTGGGGCTGAAAAGTACTCCATTCCTGTAATTTTGCTTTTTTCAGAACGTCCTGTAAATAGAATTATATGGTACGTAGCCTTTTGGTCTGGCTTCTTTCACTTGGCACAATGCAATTGAGACTCACTCACACAGCTTCATTTATCCATAGCTGGTCATTTTTTTACTGCTGCGTAGTATTCCACTGTACAAGGTTAGCACCTCCATTCACTGGTTGAAGGACAGCTGGACTGATAAGCATGACTTTTCCTATTTGAATGATAGCCCATCCTACAGATATACTAAACCATATGCAAAGAGTTCTGTATTATTAGAATTTTTAGTTCCCCCTCATTATAAATAACCATTAAATGGACATCTTCATACATAACTCTTTGCCTGCCAAACATCTTTGAATATGAAGATTCAACAAACAGGCAGTATGCCCTGCTGGTGGTATAAGAATATATGAAAATATATACACGGTTGTACTAAAATTTTCTTAAAATGTTTGCTTATGTAAAAGACAGTCTGTCTCAGTGCATTGTATTATGAAAATAAGAAAATAATAACTAACTTTGCTCTAATACAGTTGTTTTTAACCAGCTAAATAGAACTAGATATTGCTGAAATTCTGAGCATGTATATCACTCACAATTATTTCAGAACATTGCTCTCCCAGCAGGAAGCTTCTTTAGACAACGGAACCACTTGGTGCATACAGAACAAGGATGACTGGGCAAGGGCAGGTCTGCAGGCCACTTAGGGCAGCATAACTGAGTTTTTAGTTACATCTGAGCAACTGAAGTGAAAGCTGCTAAGAGAGGAAAGATAAAGTAGGCACCTTGTTCTGCATAAAAGGCTTCCCTTTGAGTAGATGCTGCTGCCCTGCAAATTAAAAAGAAAACAGAAAAAAAAAAAAGTCAGTATTGATGAGTGACACCTACTTTCAAAAATACACATGCACCCTGCAGGAAAATCTAAACAGTACAGAAAGGGACTTCCCCGGTGGTCCAGTGGTTAAGAATCCGCCTGCCAATGCAGGGGACACAGGTTGGACTCCTGCCCCAGGAAGACCCACATGCCGTGGGGCAGCTAAGACCGTGAGCCACAACTATTGAAGACTGAGCACCACAACTGGAGAGTGATCCCCCTTCACCACAACTAGGGAAAGCCCACGCACAGCAGGAAGACCCAGCACAGCCAAAAATAATAAACAAATTCAAGACAAATAAATAGCACAGAAATTCACAAAGTGAAAAGTAAAAGCTCCTTTGTTGTTCAGTCCCTAAGTCACGTCCGACTCTCTGCGACCCCATGGACTGGGGCCCACCAGGTTCCTCTGTCCAGCGGATTCTCCAGGCAAGAATCCTGGAGTGGGTCACCATGCCCTCCTCCAGGGGATCTTCCCTGCCCAGGCCTCCCTATTCCCACTGTGCATAGAGATAATTCTTAATAGTTTGAGCTGTCCTCTCAGGATACTCCCACATGCATGCACATATGTTAACACATCCTTTCATCTAAGCACAAATGGAATCTACAATTTGTTTCTTCACCCAACACGACATCTTGGACATGCTTCCATACTGGTACCTGTGGAAGTACTCATCCTTCCTCCTGGGTGAATTCTGATTGTATGGATGCACCATAAAGTCACCCAAGTTCAGTAATATCTACTGATGGATATTACACCACTAGAGTTTAACTGGTGATGAAAAACCAGTTGATACGTGATGACGGAAAAACATTGGGAGAGGCTCTGGCCTATGGCCATAGTGACTAGGATCTGACCTCCAGATTTTTAAAAACAGAACTAATGAATTCCTTGAAACCCATCAAAGATAACGTTTTAAAATTATGAAACAATCTGATGTCTTGATTCCCTGGCTCTACTACTAGGGGCTTACTGTTGCTTACTCCACATGAGGGCTGACCATCCCTTTTTCGCTAAAGGCATCGCCAGCAGTCCACAAAAGTGTACTATGGCTCCGCCTGCTGGACATTTTCTATAACTGCAACCTGATTCAGTTTCTCTTCTAGACTTCGTTCATTCAAAACTGATTAGTTTTTGCTTTTAAGTAATTAACCTATTAAGACAGAGATAAACTTATTCTTACTTTTTAAGAAAATAAAATAATACAGAACTAAGCACAGTAGTAGTGGGTCTCCCGTCACCTTTCCCCAGTTCTCACTCCCTTCCCTAGAAGGAATAATCACTGTTAGTTTATCGTCTCAGATCCATTTCTACCATTTACATTCAATATCCTGCACAAACAGAAATATAGTTTTGTTTTCTTTCACTTTACATGTTTGGGTCCACGTTCTCCGCACTGACTTGTCACATGTTTAGTTTAAGCTTTTCAGGCCAATGTGGGGTTGTGCTTGAGGACAGCATTTATGCAGAGGGAAAAACACATTACTTGCAGTTACTTTGGTTTTAAAAATTAATTCTAGCTATTAAATTAATAAATTCAAAATCTTGACTTTCCCATACACTTTTTCTATTTCATTTATGAATAGTCTTGTTCTAATTTAAACGCTGATTGAACTCTGATAATAACTTCTAAGGGGACTTCAAAATTATTCTAATTCCCAGGACATTTTAAACTCAAGTTATTTTAGGTTAGATTATTTTAAACTTACATTTTAAAATATTACATTTTCTTTATAAAATATTGTTAAGTGACTTCAAGTGAGCATAATCTTCTCAAATACTTGATGCTAGTAAATTTAACAAATGTATAAACTTTAATCTTAATTCTCTTAAACATTCCAGTACTGATTTAAAGAACGGGGGAGCCTGGCATGCCACAGTCCATGGGGCCACAAAGAGTCAGAGACAACTTAGCAGATGAACAGCAACGACTGATTTAAAAAAGTAAAAGTCTCTTATAACTTTCAACTAAAAATCCTAAGTCTACAGCCCAGGTTGGATGCATGAGAGAAGTGCTCAGGGCTGGTGCACTGGGAAGACCCAGAGGGATGGGGTGGGGAGGGAGGTGGGAGGGGGGATCGGGATGGGGAACACATGCAAATCCATGGCTGATTCATGTCAGTGTATGGCAAAAACCACTACAATATTGTAAAGTAATTAGCCTCCAACTAATAAAAATAAATAGAAAAAAAAGGAAAAAAATAAATAAATAAAATCAGTTATTTAAAAGTTAAATTTATATTGAAATCACAGGGCTATTCCAAGAGCTATTCTTACATGCCAAATCCTCTAAAATGTTATAAATAAGTTAAATATCAGAAAAATACAGATTGTTACTAAACTTACCACAAAAGTAATATAACTTGGCTTTATATCAACAACTGCTTGTTAGATTCTGAATTTCTTCAGATGAAAAGTCCTTTTCTCCACTATTCCTAAGCAAGTGAAATTTGCTCTACTATCTCTGTGACCTAGGGCCAGGCTGGAGTAGGGGAATACATTTTGAACAGTCAACTGGGGCCAAGATGAGAAATCTAGTTTTCTCCTTCGAACCCTGACTGACACAGCACGCCCTTATGTCAGTAACACAAATGTGTCTGCTTCCTCGTAGCCTCACCAATCCTGCAGATTATCCACACACTGAGTTTTTGGCCATTAACTTATAAGTCAATAAGACTGTTTACTCCACATTTCTTACTTTAGCTGTTTGTGAGAATGTTTCCATATTGTTGCACGGTTTTCCACCACCCCCAGCTTTATGGAGGTGTAACTGACATACGCCGTCTACTCTTTTTCTAACTTGTTTTTTAAGCAGACTCCCGTGTGTGTTGCAGACTTTGCTGAGGGCAGCTCAGCCCAGGCAGCACATATGCCGCGCCCACGCGCCCAGAGCGCGCGCTCCTCCGCAAGAAGAGCCCACAGCAAGTCCTGCTGGCCGTAGCGAGAGCAGCCCAGGCGCAGTGACAAAGACCCAGTGCAGCAAAAAGCTAGTTAATTAATTAAAAGTACATTTCTAAAGTGCACCCCTGGGAAGATCCCCTGGAGAAGGAAATGGAAACCCACTCCAGCACTCTTGCCTGGGAAATTCCAAGGACAGAGAAGCCTGGTGGGCTACAGTGCATGGGGCTGAGGACAGCTGAACACGGCTCAGCACACATGCTGGGCTATCTGTCTGCTAGGCTTCCAGGCTCTGCTTCCGTGATCACAGCGCCTTCTGCTCCTCTTGAACCAAGCCTCCTCTGACTCCCTCTTGTCAGGACACTTACACTACATACAAGGCCCACCGGACAGTCCAGAACTATCTCCCCATCTCAAGATCCTTACGTTCTTACATCTGCAAAGCCCCTTTTGTAACATAAAGTAAAATCCACACATCCCAGGGATTAGGACCTGCACGTCTTTAGATGCATGACTCGGCCTAACACAGTGCGTAAATTCAGGAGTCCAGTTTGGAATGTGCTGCCTTAGAGATCTCTATTAAGCAGAGAAAGGAGGGTGGATTTCATTCTCAGGAGAGGAAAGGGAAGACCTAGGCCCTCGTTTATTCTTTCCCTTCCTGTGAGAGGCCTCAAAACACGCGTGCCCAATTCACAGGGAGTGATGAGCAGAGCACTGCAGGGAGGGCCGTAACCTCGCCGGCACTCCAGGGTCACGCGCAGGTACTGATCATGTGAAACTCTTGTTTCCTTCACTGCCACTCCATTAACGGTAATGTGTATACAAGTCAATCCCAATTTCCCAATTCATTCCCCTGGCCTTCCCCCACCATGTCCACACACGTCCATTCTCTGCATCTGTGTCTCTATTCCTGCCCTACAAACGGATTCGTCTGTACCATTTTTCTAGATTCCACAATATATGCATCAATATACGACATTTGTTTTTCTTTTTGACTTATGGCCAAGAAGTACATGAAAACATACTCAACATCACTGATTGTTAGAGAAATGCAGATCAAAACTACAATGAGGTATCACTTCACACCAGTCAGAAGGGCCATCCTCAAAAACTCTACAAACAATAAATGCTGGCGAGGGTGTGGAGAAAAGGGAACCCTCTTGCACTGTTAGTGGGAACGCAAACGAGTACAGCCACTATGGAAGACAGTATGAAGATTCCTTTAAAAACTAGGAATGAAACTACCAGATGATCCAGCAATCCCACTACTGGGCACATACCACAATTCTAAAAGACACATGCAACCCAATGGTCACTACAGCACTATTTACAATAGCTAGGCCATGGAAGCAACCTAGACGTCCATTGACAGATGAATGGATAAAGAAGTTGTGTTACATATATACAATAGAATATTACTCAGCCACGAAAAAGAAGGCATTTGAGTCAGTTCTAATGAGGTAGATGAACCTAGAGCCTATTACACAGAGTGAAGTAAGTCAGAAAGAGAAAAACGACTATCATATATTAGTGCATATACATGAAATTTAGAAAGATGGTACTGAGGAACCTATTTGCAGGACAGCAACGGAGATGCAGACACAGTGAAGAGACTTGTGGACACGGCAGGGAAGGAGAATGTGGGACGAACCGGGAGAGTGGCACGGAAACAGATGCATCACCAGAGGTAAAACAGACAGCCAGCAGGTGTCAGGAAGCAGTTAACAAAAGGCTTCCTGTGTGCTATTTTGGATCTGTCAGGAACACTCTAGCCCTTATTGATTCCTGAATATTCCGGAATTAAGAGGAAAGGAGTCCAGGCATTTCTCATTACAGTGATAAGTACCCTCTTCCTTATTATGAGCCAAATGGTAAAAGGTGATCGTTTGCAACTCTCTCTTTGATAGGGATCATCTTATGTTTTGTAAGTCTGGAATTTTAATCTTTGTCTTTGCTGAGAATAACCACCTTGTAAGACAGTATATATGCTCATGCCATGTTGATTAAAAACACCTTTGCTCCATCAGAGCTTTGGTCCCTGTGTCTTTCTTTCTATTCATTCTTTCTGTCTTTCTCTCTCTATTTCTGGCTAATTCCTTGGAGCGCGCAGGCCCGCTGAGCTCACTTTCTTGCCTGGACTTCTAAGCCCCTCCCGAGAAGGCGCACTGCGCCTTCACCCACTCGAGACGGCGCCTGGTGCCCACGTGCGGCAGCGCGAGGCCTCAGAACAGGGCTCTATTGGCTTTCCGCGTAAACCAGGGGATAGCAGCCTCTTTCTCTCTCTTACTCTCGGAACCACCAGGTTCCGGTCCATTAAAGGACCAACAAGCAGGAAGCTGCGTATGAGCTCACATCTGGGGCTCTGTGACCACCTGGAGGTGTGCGGCGGGCTGGGAGGTGGGACGGAGTCTCAGGAGGGAGGGGACATGCGGGCATCTGTGGCTGATTCATGCTGACGCACGGCAGGAATCAGCGCAATATTGAAAAGCAGTTATCTTCCAACTAAAAATAAGTAACTTTTCTGAAAAGGCAAGTAAATAAATGAAAATTAGACCAGATGAAAAACAAACAGATGAACAAACTCACATCTATGTCTGGTAACATCTGTGTGTACTGAGATGTTTGGGCAGAAATGGACCAAAATGGGGAAAGAAATTACTTAGAGGAAATGGGAGCAGAGGAAAAGAAATCATCTTGTCCATTAGCAGATGAATGGATGAGGAAGCTGTGGTACATATACACAATGGAATATTACCCAGCTATAAAAAAGAATGCATTTGAGTCAATTCCAATGAGGTGGATGAAACTGGAGCCCATTATACAGAGCGAAGTAAGTCAGAAAGAGAAACACCAATACAATATATTAATGCATATATATGGAATTTAGAAAGACGGTAATGACAACCCTATATTCAAGACAGCAAGAGACACAGATGTAAAGAACAGACTTTTGTAATCTGTGGGAGAAGGCGAGGGTGGGAAATATGAGAGAAGAGCATTGAAATATGTGTATTACCATATGTAAAATAGATGCCCAGTGCAAGTTCATGGCATGAAGGAGGGCACCCAAAGCTGGTGCTCTGGGACAACCCAGAGGGATGGGGTGGGGAGGGAGGTGGGAGGGGAGTCAGGACACCTGTACACCCACGGCTGATTCATGTTGATGTATGGCAAAACCACCACAATATTTTAATTAGCCTCCAATTAAAATAAATTTTGAGAGTTGGGCTGTGAAGAAAGCTGAGCGCCGAAGAATTGATGCTTTTGAACTGTGGTGTTGGAGAAGACTCTTGAGAGTCCCTTGGACTGCAAGGAGATCCAACCAGTCCATCCTAAAGGAGATCAGTCCTGGGTGTTCATTGGAAGGGCTGATGCTGAGGCTGAAACTCCAATACTTTGGCCACCTCATGCGAAGAGCTGACTCATTGAAAAAGACCCTGATGCTGGGAGGGATGGGAGGCAGGAGGAGAAGGAGATGACAGAGGATGAGATGGTTGGATGGCATCACCAACTCAATGGACATGAGTTTGGGTAAACTCCAGGAGTTGGTGATGGACAGGGAGGCCTGGCGTGCTGCGATTCATGGGGTTGCAAAGAGTCAGACATGACTGAGCAACGCAACTGAACTGAAAATAAATTAATTAAAAAAAAAGAAATCATCATCTTTACTGTTAATAATAGACTTCCTTGGTGGCTCAGATGGTAAAGCAGAAGACCCAGGTTCGATCCCTGGGTCGGGAAGATCTCCTGGAGAAGGAAATAGCAAACCCACTCCAGTATTCTTGCCTGGGAAATCCCATGGACAGAGGAGCCTCTCAGACTGCAATCCACGGGGTCGCAAAGAGCCGGACAGGACTGAGCGACTTCACTTTCACTTTCGGAAGCGGTCTAAATGGCCACCCATGTGTAATGGGCTAAATCATGATGTGTGCCACTGCTATATTTAAAGTGGAACCAACAAACCTACCGAATAGCACATGGAACTCTGCTCAGCATTATGTGGCAGCCAGGATGGGAGGGGGGGTTGGGGGAGAATGGATACATGCATCTGTGTGGTCGAATCCCTTTGCTGTCCCCCCGAAACTATCACAACATTGTTAATAGGCTATACTCCAAACAAAGAGAGAGTATCTCCCATGTTAAAAAGAAAAAAAAGAATCATGACATACATACAATAGAATACTACAGGTAGGGGGATGACATTAAGATACCATTATGTGAAAACAGCAAGCTGCGGAGTCCTGTGTCTGCTATCATTTATATGAAATGAAAAAGAGAAACGTGTCTGTATCTGTGGGTTTGTGTGTTCTAACAAACACAGAATATTCTAGAAGGGCACAAAAGAAACTGGAAGCAGTAGTTGCCTTTGGGTAAGGGAATCGGGCTTCCCGGTGGCGCAGTGGTAAAGAATCCGGCTGCCAATGCAAGAGACGCAAGCGATGCGGGTTCCATGCCTGGGTCGGGAAGATCCCCTGGAGCAGGAAATAGCAACCCACTCCAGTATTCTTGCCTGGGAAATCCCATGGACAAGGGAGCCTGGCGGGCTACATGGGGTCGTGAAGAGTCGGACCCAACTGAGCACACCCACCCACACACGGAAACTGAGTAACTAGAAACAGAGGAAGAAAGAGTCTCCACTTTTTATGCCCTTTTGTAACTTTGAATTTCATCCTATGCACATGCATTATCGTTTCAAAAAGTCTAATAAGATTTTGTGTGTGTGTGAATTTTTTTTGTTTATTTTTATAGTTGAAGGCTAATTACTTTACAATATTGTAGTGGTTTTTGCCATACATTGACATGCATCAATATGATTTTAAAATATATCAGGACTAAGAAACGTGAAACTTCGTCAAGGGGGAACCTCACCCCCAAAATGGAGTCAGGAGGCCAGAAGGGGGCGCTCTCAGGCAGGGCCAGGCACAACAATTACAGAAGAATTGTCAACTACAGACCTCAAAAGAAGAACCATGGACAGGAACAAACCGTCAGTTAGAGGCCACAGCAGGAAAGACGTGCACACCGTCTTCTGTGAGGAACTGACTACCCCAGCAACTCAGCCAAAGAGAAACTGTCATCACCTTTTCTCTGACGGACTCATTCAAAACACCCCTTCCCAACTTCCTCCTTCTCTATAAAATAACACCCCTCTCCTTCATTTGCTGGGCCTCCCTTGCGGCTCAGCTGGTAGAGAATCCACCTGCAATGTGGGAGACCTGGGTTCAGTTCGATCCCTGGGTTCGGAAGATCCCCTGGAGAAGGGAAAGGCTACCACTCGAGTATTGCCTGTAGTTTTTGCTATAGCTTGCTTGTCCCAAACTGCAATTCTTCTACTAGTCCCAAATAAATTCACTTTCTTTTTAAAAAAAAGGTTTTTTTGGTGTGGACCATTTTTCAAGTCTTTATTGAATTTGTTATAATATTGCTTTGGTTGCGCATTCTGGTTTTTAAGCCACAAGGCAAGGAGGGGTCTTAACTCCTCAGCCAAGGATCGAACCCACACCTTTTGCATTGGAAGGCAAAGTCTTAACCAGTGGACCACCAGGGAGATCCTCCCCAAATAAATCCACTTTTGCTGGTAAAATAGCTTTCATTTCTGAGGGCCACAGAAGTAAATTTTAAAAGGTGGTCCTGCCACCCCAGGTCCAGCCTTCATGCTGCAACTGGTGCAGCCGGAGTGGACTTGCTCCCACGGTACACACGGGGGTCAGCTCAGCTGCACGGATGCTCAGCAAACCTTCACTGACCCAGCAGCGCAGAGATGGAGAGCAGGGCAGTGCATAAGTTCCAACCTTACTCTGCAGCCGGGCATTTCAGGGAGTGGGCATAAAATGACACTGTGATCCACCAGCGTCCTTTAAATAGTAAGGGCTGGCTATCTTCAGGAAGCAAGGAAGTTAGGTTAAACATTTACTTACGAACTTAAGGCACAGTCAGGATGAGTGCTGTGTTCCAGACACTGTAAGAGCTTCACTGGTCTGCAAAATGAAAAGAAGTAATATTTAAGGGATGAGTCAAGTGACTTTCCTTCATCATACGTTTATGGGGAACCTGCAACGTACTGGAGATACAAAGTCTCTGACCTTGAAGGACACAGTTCCTTTTAAAAAGTATTAGCTGGCATTTGTTGAGCACTTACTATGTACCAGAAAATCTGATTATATATTAAATATCTCACATAGATGATGTCATTCCCGCCTTACAACAACTGACCAAAGCAGGTACTAAGGAGATCAAACCAATCAATCCTAAAGCAAATTAATCCTGAATATTCACTGGAAGGACTGATGCTAAAGCTGAAGCTCCAATACTTTGACCACCTGATGCGAAGAGCCAACTCATTGGAAAAGACCCTGATGCTGGGAAAGATTGCAGGCAGGAGGAGACGAGGGTGGCAGAGGATGAGATAGTTAGCATCACAGACTCAGGGGATATGAATTTGTGCAAACTTTGGGAGATGGTGATGAACAGGGAAGCCTGGCATGGTGCAGTCCGTGGGGTCGCAAAGAGTCCAACACACCTGAGCAGCTGAACTGCAACCAATTGTTATCTGCGATCTACAGCCGAGAGGGCCGTCCAGAGGAGCGTGCCCACGATCTCACAGGAGTGAGTGGAGGAGCTCAACTTGAACCTCCCCTCCAAAGCCTGGGCATGGAACCACTTCTGTAAAGACGTACAACGTTGCTTGGAAAATCTGTCGATAAGAACTTTGGGCAGAAGGCTGAACTTGAAGCACATGGGTGATGGCTGGTACCCTGGCTTCAGGGAAGAAAGCTAACTGCTTGCATCATAAGGCTGAAGGAGGAAACAGAACAGGCTCTATCTTGAAAGCAGGACTCCATCCTGGGCGTGACTGTGGTCTTTGAGCTCTATGCCCTGAATCTATGGAAATGACATACCAACTGAAAAACCAGGCCCCCAGAAGGAAGAGCCCCAGGGCTCTCCGTCACCTAAAAGAATACCCTAATTGTCTGCCTAACCGAATAGAACCATACATTCTATTATGCTTATGGGGTATGACCACAGGCCTATAGATAATTGTCCACTGTTAACTAACTAGACTTAAGGCATATGAATCATGGGTTAACTTTGATTGTATCTTCTTTTTCCTTTGTTCAGACGAGTTTCAGGGAATTTGGGGAGGTGGGTCTGTGCACGTACACTTAGGGTGTGTAAGGTTTTCACAAAAACTGGCCGGGGTCCTTGGCTAAGAGGAGACTCTGCCTTGGGCCCGCCCATGTAATAAACTGCGCTCCACTATCTGCATGGTCCTTCTGAGTGGGTTTGTTTCCTGGAACGCGTGGCTACCACCAGGCGAGAGGATGTGGGTTCCAGGAGAGCCAGGCGGAAGGGAAGAGTAGCGGCGAAGACGGGAGCCTGGTGGCAGTGAGAGGCAGCTAGGAGAGGCTGTCAGCCATCACAGGGCGCCTGGACGGCACTTGGGAAGAACAGGAACGCGTTCTGTCTGTGGCCGGCTACGTGTGTGACCGCCCCCCCCAACCCCCAGGACTCTCTAAGTCCTCAGTGGACACCGCTCAGATACAGTTTTTTTTAAACAAGAGTAGTCTGTTATTGGATTTCCCTGGCAGGCCACTGGTTGCAAAGCCGCCTGCCAAAGCAGGGGGCACCGGTTCGATCCCTGGTCTCGGAAGATTCCGCATGGTGCAGGGCTACTAAGCCGAGCACCCCAACTGCTGAGCCTGCGCTCTGGAGCCTGTGTTTGACAAAGGAAGCCCCAGCACCGCAACTAGAGAGCAATCCCCTGCTGGCTGCAATGAGAGAAAGCCGCCTCACAGCAGTAAAGATCCAGCACTGCCAAAAAATAATTAATAATTTTTAAAAAGTAGCTTGGTATTGCTGTCACGCCTTCCCGCTTCTCCCACCAAAATGCACTGAGTTTCACGGAGTGTGGGTCAATACAGTGCAAAGCAGAAAACAGGAGACGAGAGGCTTTGAACAAAGACCTTGCCAAAATCTGCAAGACTTGGGGAGAAAGTTCGACCACCGTGGCACAGAGGTCACTGTCACCTGAAATTTGACGGGCAGGGGATTCTCACTTACATCTGGGCTGGAAGTCTGATCTGTTAACCCTCGTTGTTCACCCTGTGTTAAGCCTGTTGTTATCTCCTCCGAGCTCCCAGGAGCAATAAAACCCCAAAACACAGACAGCCCAGGGGTGGTACAGAAATGCTAAGCCAGGCATGCAAGGGCGGAGCCTGGGGCCAGCTTAGGTGGGGCAACGTGACTCAGGAAAAGCAGGTTGAGACCTTGAGGCTCACAGCTGAGAGTCGGAAGGCAGCCCTGGGCCCCCACTTGACCTGACGACTTGTAAAAAGACAGCCTCCTCGGGGAAGTCCCTGGGCCAAAGCAAAGTGGTCATAACTGTGGGATTTTTAGCCATGCCTTTTTTTTTTTCTATCCCTGAGCTATTTTAGAATCAGAATTGCCTTTTATTTAATTTACAAAAAGCTGATGCTGTAAGAAAGGAGGAATCTTAGAGTAGAAAGAAAAGGGGGAAGCTTCAGGGTCACACAGTGATGGGTTCAAAACTCAGCTGTGTCGGCGAGTGGTGACCTTGGGAAACTCGCTTAATCTCTCTGATCTTTCATTTACCCATTCATGATATTTATAGAAAGCAGATATGTATTTATATAAAACAGACAAAACGAATCTATGCTCTTACAAGTCCAGAGAGTGGTTCCTACTACAGGCGGATGGGGAGCCTGAAAGGGAGACCAAGGAGAGACCGGAGATGTTGGTAACGCTCTGCCTCTTAATCCCAGTACGCATGTACAGTGACCTGGGGAAAATTCATCCAACTGCATCCTTACAGTTTCTGCTTTTTTCTGAACACAGATTATATTTCCAAAACAAGAGTATATGCTTTGCATTGTGTTCAAAACAGGGTGATGACAACACCTAATTAACTTCAGAGTCTTCTGAGAGCGTTAGCAATAATAGACAAGGAAAACAGTCCCGCTTCAAGCTGTGGGAAAAGAATAGGCCTGTTCTCCTGGGGGGAGACCTGAGGAGGGGGAGACCCACACTTCTGGGGGCTTTGCTCAGGTGGGAAGGTCACCAGGTCCCTTTTGAGAAGGCCAGAGGGCGGCAGGGCCAGCTGGACAGTCACCGGCGCTGGTAAAGGCTGCAGATGTAACGTGCACCCTGCCGCGCTCACAAACCTTCGGGAAAGCCCCTGAGTCACTGAAGTGTTGGACTCCAACCCCTGGGGAAACAAACAGGACTGCAAACTCAGGTGCCGATACATAGGAGAAGCAGGAAGTGATAGGTAAGGAATTCCCAGGCCGGGGGAGGGCTTTCAATCATCCCAGAGTTTGAGCCAAACTTACTTACATTTCCAAGAATCAGGAGTACCTTGAAATGATCTCTGACTACATGTATATAAAGTACCTGGCCCATAAAGTCCGTGATAAATGGTAGCTACGATGACTTTTCAGATGGTCCACAGCCACCAAGCGTCTCTCTGTAAGTATCTCAAACTCCCCTTAACACAAATCACAGGTAGTGCGGCATCCAGAGAAGCACAGGTCACAGTCCCCGTGTCCCGGTGACTCCCCATGCGGGGAAGCGAGTGAGGAGGAGACCAGACACTCACAAAGGATACAGGGCTGCCGTCCATCCTATAAGCGTCCTTAGAAAGCGCTGTGGACAGTGGGGGTGGCGGGGGGGGGGGGGGGGCGTCAGCAGGAACTCGAGCTGGAAAGCACCACCAGTACCCAGATCCAGCGACAACAGGAAGGCACAGTTCCGTGGCCTCTGGAGCTGACCTCTGAAACACCTTTCCAACAGCCCCCTGCTCCTTCTTTGAATACACGCACTGATAACCGTTGCCCAAGCTGAAGCTCCAATACTTTGGCCACCTGATGTGAAGAGCCGACTCTTTGGAAAAGACCCTGATGCTGGGAAAGATGGAAGGCACACAGAGAAGGCTGCGGCAGAGGATGAGAGGGTTAGACAGTGCCACAGACTCGAGGGGCATGCGTCTGAACAAGCTCCAGGAGACCGTGAAGGACACGGAAGCCTGGCCTGCTGCAGTGAGTCCATGGGGCTGCAAAGCGTCGGACACGACTGAGCGACCGAACAACGGAATACCCTCCGCCACCTACAGGTAGTCATCGATACAGCTGTACTGGAAACCCAACTTGTTCAGCCTCTCTTCCAGGAGCTTCACGCTGCCTTCTCCGCAGGATTCCCTGAAACGCAAACACAGACATAACACACGTAAAAGAAGCTGTTTCCGTGTTAATGAAAAGTTATCCTGGCCACGCGCTGAGATCTACTCCTCCCTGCAGAAATACGTGGCAGATTCTCTGAATCCAGAAGTGCTGCGGGCACTTGAGCCGCCGCTCCCACGTGGAGATGCTCTGACCCTTAGACCTGTCCGAAGCCTGCGAGTCACGCACATCCATCCCTCGGCCCGCGCCGGCACATGCGCGGTGGACCGCAGGGCGCAGCCCAGCCGCACCACACACGCCGCGCTGGGCTCGGGCTCCGAGCGAGCTGACTGCCCCCTTATCCAACCCACAGTGAATTAAGTCAATCTTCAGATAGAAATAGAAAATACATACAAAATCAAAAAATATTAGGAAACTCAAATAAACAAAGGGGGGGGGGGCTAAATCTCACATCACTGGCGATAACCGCTGCTGCCATGATGATGTACATCATTTTAGACTTTTTAAACGTATTTATTCTGACGAGACTGAAAACAGAACAACCCATTTCTGCTGCTCAATGCATATTTAATCTGCGTTTGCCCAGGTCTGTGTGTCCACCTATGTAACTCTCTGCCAGTATTTTTAATTCCTGCTTGGGCTCCTTTATACAGTTGGAGCATAATTCATAAAAAGCAGTCCCCTGTTGTTAAAGGTTCAGCCCTACATTTCAGTGTCATTGACACTACATGGATACACGTACATGTATGGCTGAGCCCCTTCGCTGTTCAGCTGAAACTATCACAACACGTAATCGGCTGTATACCCCAATACAAAATAAAAAGTTTAAAAAAAAAAGGATGACTTCAAGCTTGCATTGATATCTGAGCTGATGCAACCATTGAATTAGTGGTTTCCCAGAAAAGTATGGATCTTAAAAGCTCTCTCAGCCAGTTATCTGAGACCCAGGTGTGAAACTGATTGTTCTGTGAAAAGAATGTCTTCATTACATAGTCCATGAGTCCATTTTGAGAACTCCTGATGAGGTTTTTGGACTTCCAATGACAGAGAGAAAAAACTGGCTTTGCCCCACACCGGTGCAGGAGGCCCTCTCCTCTCCGACGCTGCCCTGGTCACTCAGAAAGCCTAAGAGGAGACTCTAGATAAAGGAAGCTTTCTCTCTGGGCTTGGGACTGACTCATGGCATTTCCAGAAAGTCAAGCCTTTGCCTTTCTCTGCCCACCACACTATAAACAGAGAAGACAGTGGCTTCCCCAGAAATGTACATGTAACTCAGACCAGATCATATCACATCCAAGAAAAGCATGTTTGTACCATGACCATCACCAGTAGCACTATAACTTACACCTTGGGTCCTCTGATTTCATGCATAACCCAGATCTCAATTCGTGTGATTTTATCCTTCTGTAGGTAGGGAATTTCAAAATCTGCAAAAAAACTGAGAAACACGTTTTGTCAAGTCCTAAAGCAATATGACACTGTTCCCATATCACTGTTAGTTGATTTACACATTACTTTTAACACTCTTGGGGGTTGGTGGTGGTGGTGATTTTGTTGCTAAGTCTTTCGACCTCATGCACTGTAGCCCACCAGGCTCCTGTGTCCATGGGATTCTCCAGGCAAGAATACTGGAGTGGATTGCCATTTCCTTCTCCAGGGGATCTTCCTGACTCAAGGATCAAACCTGCGTCTCCTTCATTGGCAGGTGGATTTTTTTATCACAGAACCGCTAGGGAAGCCCTTTGGGGGTTACTTTTTAGCTTTAATTTTTAGGTTACTTATTGCATTCATGCATTCAGCTGTTAGTGGTATAAAGGTATGGACATGGCTCTGACATCCAGGTCATTCAATGGTTGTGCTCCAGCTGAACTTACAAAAGCACTAGATTGGGATATGGGGATGATCCTCTTAAGCCTCAGTTAAAAGACATCTTGGCATCTTTGTCATATATGCTAGGGCTCGCATTCTTACCCTTTTACAGGATAGGCTCCTGCTGGCTCTGAGCCATTCAGCATGACATTGATCACCCCAGAACTATCTCTTGCATACTGCAAAAAAGAAACAAGCATTTTGAGTTAGCCAAGACACCATTTTTCACCTATGAAATAGTCAACCATTTTTTTCAATTGACAATCCTCAATACTGACAAGGGTGTGATAAATATGGTATTCTATAGAGCTAGAAGGGATGTAAATTGGCATATCTTGGGAAGCAAATTGCTTTGAAATGTGCAAACCTCATGCCTGTCATCTACCATCATAAAACAATACAGGACTTCCCTGCTGGTCCAGTGGTTAAGAATCTGCCTGCCAATACATGGGACATGGGTTTGATCCCTGGTCTGGGAAGATCCCACAGGCCACCAAACAACTAAGTCCGTGAGCCCCAACTACCGAGCCTGCACTCTAGAGCCTGGGCTCTGCAGTAAGAGAAACCACTGCAAAGAGAAGTCCCACACCGCCACTAGAGAAAAGCCCCTTCAAGCAGCAACAAAGACCCAGCACAGCCAAAATAAATAGAGAACTATTTTTTTAAAAATAAAATAATGCAAAACACTATCAGATTCCAACCCTGGATCAACCAGTGTACACTAGCTTATGCTGCTGCCATTACAAACAGCCTCAAAAATCCCAGTGGCTTTAAACAAGAAAGGTTTATTTCATGCATATGCTACATGTGTATCACTGGTTTTCGGATGTGGGGTTTGGGTTTTCCTACATATGCTCCTGCTCTGGGACCCAAGTTGAAGTCTCCACATCTGCAGATGTGGATAGTTTATCAGTGAAGGGAGAGAAAAAGTGGCAAGCCACAGACCAGTTCTTCAAGTCTTGCCAGTGGCTCAGTGATAAAGAACCTGCCTGCAATGGGGGAGCCACAGAAGATTCATGTTTGATCCTGGAGGCGGGAAGATCCCCTGGAGGAGGAAATGGCAACCCACTCCAGTATCCTTGCCTGGAGAATCCCATGGACAGAGGAGCCTGGTGGGCTACAGTCCATGGGGTTGCAAAGAGTCGGACACAGCTGAAGAGACTTGGCACGCACCCAGGCACCCAGAGGTCACGCAGTCACTCCTACTCACATCCTATTAGCCAGTGCAAGTCTCACAGAAGTAACTTCAAGAGACAGAATGAATGCAAAACACATGCCCAGAAGATGAGCCAGAAATACTCAGGAAACATCCCGAAGGATCCCCTGGTGCACAGAGAGTTATTCCGCAGCACGATTTGTAACCAATTTAAAACAGTCAGCCACAGGGAAGGGTAAGTTGATCATGGCGCTCACATGTCTGAAATACTATCCAGCCATCAGTAAAAGCCTACGGAAGGTTGGCCATAGCCCCAGAAGCGCTTACACCCAGAGCAAAGTGTGAGACAGATGGACAGGGCATGGCTTGCGCTCAACTCCATTCAAAATGAATGGGTGGGGATTTCCCTGGTGGTCCAGCGGCTAAGCCTCTTGCGCTGTCAGTGCAGGGGGCCAGGGTTCGATCCCGGGTCCAGGACCTGGCTCCTGTGTGCTGCAACTTGAAAATATCCTGCCTGTCACAACTGAGACTCAGAGGAGTCAAATAAATAAAGAAAAACACAAAGATGAATGGGCAGAAGTGTGGGAATTAGTCAACCCCTGAAATTCCTAAGGCAGAAACAGGGCCAGAGAAATTCTCCAATCTGCTGCTCAGCACACTACTGGAGCATATGATTTCCCTGATAAAATGCTTCTTCCAGACTGAAGGTGGAGCAGGGCAGGGCTATCGCGCAGATCTAAGATACGCAAGGCTGGGCTTGTTCTCTGGCAGTGTTAAGTTTTAAATGTTAGTTGCTCAGCCGTGTCAACTCTGTGATTCCATGGACTGTAGCCTGCCTGGCTGCTCTGTCCATGGAACTCTCCAGGCAAGAACACTGGAGTGGGTGGCCATTTCCTTCTCCAGGGGATCTTCCTGACTCGGGGATCGAACCCTGGTCTCCTGCATCGCAGGTGGATTCTTTACCGTCTGAGCCGCCAGGAGAGCCTGGCCGCCCCACACCGGCTGCAGCGCTGCTCCATGCCACCACGCCTATCTCAGACTGCTTCCAGATATGCCAACATTCGAGGTTAGACCTGCAAATGCCAAGGTCTGACGACAGCGATTTGTTCTTAGGTAGCAGGAATGTGAATGATTAGTTTTTTTTCTTTATATATTTTATAATTTGTCATTCTCTATCATGAGCAGCTATTAAACTAGTGATAAAAATTTTTTTTTTTTCATTAAAACAAAGCATGCCAGGACTTCCTTGGTGGTCCAGTGGTTAAGACAGCATTCTTCCATTGCAGGGAGCACAGGTTTAATACCTGGTCAGGGAACTAGGGTCCTGAATGCCACATGATACAGCCAAAAAAAAAAAGAAAAAGGCAGATACAGTGAGGCTGTATGAAGTCATGGTCGCCGGTTACTGCACTTATTAGCTCAGTAATTAGTCTGATTAAGTTTCTTGGCCTCATTTTCCTATCTGTAAAACAAGGGTAGTAAGAGTCCCTACTCATAGGAGTGCTGTGATGATCAAATTATTTAAAATGATATTACTATTTATGGCATATTTCTCTGCCACGGTTCAGACCCTCTCTTCATCAGCATATCAATGCTGTACTATCTCACTTCATGTTCAGACTCCCCAGCATATTCTGAGGGTTCGTAAAATGTGTGTGTGTATGCATTAGTCACTCAGTCGTGTCCCACTCTTTGTGACCCCATGGACTGTAGCCCACCAGACTCCTCTGTCCATGGGATTCTCCAGGCAAGAACACTGGAGTGGGTTGCCAGTTCCTTCTCCAGTCGTAAAGGGTGAGCATGGTTACAAGACTCCCATTTTAAATCAGAAGTGGCTTGGAGCACACTTTGAAATGGGATAGGTCCATTGGGTAGCACGTGGGTTTCTCTGCATACGATGCTGACGTCACTCCTGCGTGGTCATTAGGACCCCACGTTCAGGTGATGATGTGACCACACACAGTCCCCCACTCCTTAACGAGGGGCTCGGGCAGCTCACCCCCTGGAGTCTGCACTCCAGGCAGAACCTGTGGGGAGTGGGCACAGACCGAGGGCTCCCCGGAGCTGGCAGGAGAGAGAGGAAGAAGAACACCTTTGTCGGGAGCCACCCTCCGCTCAGTTCCAAACTGCCTCTGTAGTGGAAGATTTGACCGAAGCGACTCTTGCCCTGATTAACAGTGGCTCCGGTGGACATCTGGTGATCCAGGGCGGGAAATGACACCAAAAGGGACACAGATAACCCTGAAAGGGGCTCGGTGGCAGGACCAGACATCACCAGACCCCTAGCCAATCCAGCTAACAGTCGACTGCTCTTTGTCGGGCATTGAGCTAAAAATGTCACCCTCTTATTTGGACTCTTTGGTCTAATGCTGGTGACAGCAAATGTAAGCTGCAGTCACTGGTGTTTTCTAGCTATCGATCACTATCGATTCTGCTTATGATATTCTCCAAGAAACAGACTGGCCTTTAGGGGACCGTGGGACTTCCCTGGTGGCTCAGATGGTAAAGTGTCTGCCTACAATGTGGGAGACCCGGGTTCAGTCCCTGGGTCAGGAAGATCTGCTGGAAGGAAATGGCAACCCACTCCGGTACTCTTGCCTGGAAAATCCCATGGACGGAGGAGCCTAGTAGGCTACAGTCCATGGGGTCGCAAAGAGTCGGACACGACTGAGCGACTTCACTTTCACTTTCTGCACCTTCAGTTTATCTCTGGTCTCCTATCATCTCCTCCCCCAAGAATATCAACCTTCTGGATGCTTCTGACCCCCACAATAGATCTTGGGCATCCCAGGTTCTCCCATAAAGCAGGGGTTACACCACTTCACATCACAACCAATATCACATTGATTTGAAATACTAACAACAACAGCGACACAACAGTAATAATAACGACTGTTTAAGATCCCCATCTGAAGCTACCATTCAGAATATTTTCTCTGCCCCAGGCACTGCATTAAGCATTTCAGCTTCTTAAATCCTCACGCCTTTATGGAGCAGAGAGGCTGAATCAGAACGTGGCAGAAAGTGAGACTCGTGTAAATTAAGTAATGAGGCGATGGCCCAGTGATGCCTCTGAACACTCCAGCCCCCTCTTCCCAGGTTCCACACCTGCTCTGCCACCCAGCCGTGCATCCCAGGATTACCTGGATGGATGCACTTCTCCAGAAAGAATCCACAGGGTTGTTTTCACAATCTTCTGATGTCGGACAGGATTGGTAGTCGAGTCCTATGGGGAAAACAGACAGACATATTTCATTTCAAGGATTATAACAGGAAGGGAAAAAAAAAAAACCAGGAAGGGATTTATTGAAAATATTTGTTGGGTCCACTATAGGTACACATATAAAGATTTTTTTTTAATGTGGATTTTTTAAAAAATCTTTATTGAATTTGTTACAATATTGCTTCTGGTTTACGTTTTGGCTTTATGGCCAAAAGGCACGTGGGATCTTGAGCCCTCCCCAGCCAGGGCTCAAACCCACATCCCCTGCGTTGGAAGGTAAAATCTTAACCACTGGGCCACCAGGGAAGTCCCTCCACAAAATATATTGAACTGCGTTCTACAAAATGTGTATGGGCTTACAGTTCATAGCTCTGTCTACCTAGACCACAAGAAGCCTGGTGAGGAACATCCAAGCCCTGATAAGCAGATATTTGTCATTCTGCTCCACACAAATGTGAAGAAGGTGGAGAACTGAACAGGTGCGGTATTTCTCCGCTGGAACTCCAGTCAGTGATGCATATACTGATGCAGGTGTGTGTGCTCACTCAGTGGTGTCTGACTCTTTGCGACCCCACGGATTGTAGCCTGCCAGGCTCCTTTGTCCATGGAATTTTCCAGGCAAGAATACTAGAGTGTGTTACCATTTCCTACTCCAACATATATTGATATATATATATATATCCAAAAGTTATACAATATTATAAATTATACACATATTAAAATTATAAATATTTTAAATGTATATGAATGACATGTATATGTGTGTATACATACATATATATATATATATATATATATATATATATATATATATTGCTTTATTGGGAGAAATGTCTTCTGCAAGTAGCACAAGTCTTGGAAGTAAATACAAGAAAAACAGACCAAGAAAATAACAGTCCTTAGCCAGAAAACAGAAATTTTATAACATTTAAAATATACAAAATGTTAAAATGTACCACGTTTAAAAATCTTAAGGGCGAAATTCAGCAGCTATAAAATGGGATTTGTCCCCCATTTACTCTATTAAAAAAAAAAAAGGAGAAAGTGCTCACTGACAATTCATTCCAGGGAGAACCAAGCAGGGCACCATGTGAACGTCTTGAAGGGAAACGCATGGCACTTCCTTGTCCCCTCTGGGCGCACCAGCATCTTAAGGTGCTCACCAATTTGGAGGCTTCCCGAACCCCATCAGACAGGGGTTTTTATGGAGATTTCATGATGTAGGTGTCACTGAGTCAATCGTGGGTGATTGACTGAATCTCCAGTCCTACTCCCCTTCCCAGAGGACAGAGGATGGGGTTGAAAGTTCCAGCTTTCTAATGATGCCTCTGTGTTTTTGGCAAGCAGCCCCCATCAAAAGTTACTTAGCAGCTCCCAACCACTGGTCATTGCATTACCAAACAAAAGACACTCTTATCACTCCTGAAGCCAAGGTTTTCAAGAGCCTTGCCAGAAACCAGGGGACTAAGACCAAATATTCATTTCTTTTATACCACAGTCTCCCTCTCTTCCGTCTAGTCAAAGCTATAGCTCTTCCAGTCATCATGTACAGATGAAAGAGTTAGACCATAAAGAAGGCTGAGTGCTGAAGAATTGATGCTTTCAAACTGTGGTGCTGGAGAAGACTCTTGAGAGTCCCTTGGACTGCAAGGAGATCACACCAGTCAATCCTAAAGAAAATTAACCCCGAATATTCATTGGAAGGACTGATGCTGAAGCTGAAGCTCCAATACCTTAGCCACCTGATGCAAAGAGCCAACTCATTAGAAAAGAACCTGATGCTGGGAAAGATCGAAGGCAGAAGGAGAAGAGAGCAGCAGAGGATGAGATGGTTGGATAGCATCACTGACTCAATGGACATGAATTTGAGCAAACTCCGGGAGATGGTGAAGGACAGGGAAGCCTGACGTGCTGCAGTCCATGGGGTCGAAAAGAATAGGACACGACTGAGTGACTCAGTAACAGCTCCCTCTCTTCAGTGTTTCCATCACACTCCCCCTTCAGCCTCCCCCACCCTCTGCAGGATAATCAAACTGCAGCCTCCTGATCACAGTCCACTGGAAAAATGGCCACACAGCCATTTGACCTGTACCCTGCCATGCTTCCCATTTCACTCAAAGTGAAAGCCAGCATCCTCAGCATTCTGTGCCATCATGCCCTTTATTCCCCTGGCCTCGTAGCCGACGACTTGCCTCTTTACTCACTGCCTGCCTTTCTGTTCCTTGAATCTGCCAGACAGACTCCCATCTCAGGGCCTTTGCACTTGCAGTTCCCTGCATCAGGAAATGTTCTTCATCTCCTTCAGGCCTCTACTCAAATACCAGCCTCTCAGTGAGGGCTTTTCTGGGCCCACGTAAAACTACGTGGCCCTTTCCCCACTAGCCAGCACTCCCTACCCTCTTTTCCCTGATTCATTTCTCTCCATAGCCTTCAATCGTATGGCAGACTATAAATTATCACTTGCCTATTTATGATCTTATCTTCACCCCTGTAAGGGTGAGGTGTTATTTTGCTGGTTTTATTCTCTCTTGTGTTCCTAGCGCCTAGAAGAGCAAACACTGGCGTGGAGCAAGTACTCTAAGAACTTCATGGATGGATGAATGAATGGAGGACAAACAGAACTGAGCTTAGGTTAACATTCCTTTTAAATTTTCTTAAGAAATTTTATTGACGTATAGTTTCCTTAACGTTGTGTTAGTTTCTGCAGCAAAGTGAACCAGCTATGTGTGTGTGAGTGGCTCAGTCGCGTCTGACTCTTTGTGACCCCAAGGACTGTAGGAAGTCAGGCTCCTCTATCCATGGGAAATTCCCAGGCAAGAATACTGGAGTGGGTTGCCATTTCCTTCTCCAGGGAATCTTCCCAACCCAGGAACTGAACCTGGGCTTCCTACATTGCAGGTGAATTCTTTACTAAATCAGCTATACATATACATATATCTACGCTCTTAGATTTCGTTCCCATTTAGGTCACCAGAGAGCACTGAGCAGAGGTCCCTGAGCTGTACAGTATGTTCTCATTAGTTGTCTATTTTATACACAGTAAGCTAACTTTTATATATAGTAAGTTAACCCATAAGTTATACACAGTAAGTTAACCCATCATTAAGGACTGATGCTGAAGCTGAAACTCCAATACTTTGGCCACCTAATATGAAGAACTGACTCCTTGGGAAAAAACCCTGATGCTGGGAAAGATTGAAGGTGAGAGGAGAAGGGGACGACAGAGGATGAGATGGTTGGACGGCATCACCAACTCGATGGACATGAGTTTGAGCAAGCTCCGGGAGCCAGTGACAGACAGGGAGGCCTGGGGTGCTGCAATTCATGGGGTCGCGAAGAGTCAGGCATGACTAAGCAACTGAACTGAGCTGAAGTTAACTTTTAAAGTGACTCCAATAACCAGGGAGGAAGAATCTCCAGTCTTCACGAAGGCGCCACCTCCCTGCACCCACTTCCTTGCTGGCCTTGGTCCTGCTCAGTGTATAACATTCACAGAGAGCTGAGAGCCTCTGGGAAGCTTCTGGAGTCTCTGATCCATATTGGTGTCTCTCTCTGCTTACTCCTGAGTGCCCAGTCCTTCCCACCTCAGAGCACACCTCTCTGGACTAAATGCCCTGCCCCCACCTACCACCAAGGCTACAAGCTCCCTGAGGGCAGAGACCACTGTACCACCAGTGGGGGTCAGTGAATGAGAAGTGTCTGCATTACCATCAGGTCGGCGTCTGTGACTTTAACTTGCACTGTGATTTCGCCAACTACAAGTTGGCACTTGCCATCCACCTCTACAAGGATTAAATCATGAGCCGCTGCAGTTGCTGTCCTTCAACATCCCTTGAAAAGAGTTTAGGGCGGAGATCAAGGATGAGGCGCTCTGTGCTCTGGGAAAAACTGGCAGAACAGGCTTTCGGATAGTCAGATGTTTTCAAGAGATTTTATGAACCCAATTCTTGTATCTCCTCGTACCTAGAAAAGCACTAAAATCCTTCGTGGTGATGTCTGTTCCCCGTGACTAGCAGCCAGTCTTTGCCAAAGTGAGTGCCTGACTGTACACACCCCCTTCACTAAAATCATACGTAACACTGACCTTCCCCACTGCCTCTTTAGAGCAGTTTCACAGAGCTATTTGAAATGCTGTGTCCCAGACTATAGTCGTCATGCTGCCCTAAATAAAACTGACTCGCAGCTCTAACATTGTGCATTTCCTTTTTCAGTTGACAATTTGAATCTCAAAATGTCTGCTGGTGGCCTGGAGTGGTTTCAGAACCAGTGGGAAGCGGGGTGAATCTTGGCCCCAGTTCCTCAAGTCATTTAACTGCCTTCACCCTCAGTCTACCCCTCTGAGGACAGTGAGATAGAGTCACGCAGGACTGAAGTCAGACGGTCTAACTTTGCTGCTAACAATGCTGCACACTCCTGAGCTGGCACCTCAGCCTTGCTGTGCCTCGGTTTCCTCATTTGTCAGAACAGGAATCAGGAGAGGACTATCCCATGGGGCCATTGCAGGGATTCAATGAGTTAATATAGTAACTCCCCTACTACAAAGCTTCAGGTTGTGAACTTTCAAAGATGTGAGTACGCATCTGGTTCCAGCAAGAAACCAGAACCTGTACCATCAACAACGGGCGTGAGCGAGTCACAGCTTGCCCTCTGTCTCCGATTGTTGACAATCTTTCAGCTCTACCATCTCCCACTTCCTCTCCCTCTTCTGGTCAGTAACTCTTCTTGCCTGTTCACTGGATGCCAGCCCCTGTATGCCAGCTGTTGTCCTGTACTTTTCAAGGTACTGTAGTATAAGGTTAAAAATGTTTCCTTTATTCTTGTGTTTGTTTTTTATGTATTGTTTGTGTGAAAAGTACAGTGCTATGTAGCTGATTATGTTAGTCGGGTACCTAGCTTACCTTATTGGACTTACGAACACACTCTTGTAATATAACTTGTTCATATGGAGGGAACATACTGCATATGTAAAGTTCTTAGAACAGCACCTAGCAAAGATGGATGCTCTCTATTACTGTTATTAATTATTATGATGATGATAACCATTTCACCTGGGAGGACTTGAGGTCAATCAGACGAGATAAATGCATATGAAAGCATTTAACAAAAATGGCAAATGCATTGAAAGTCACTCAGTCGTGTCCGACTCTTTGCAATCCCATGGATTATACAGTCCATGGAATTCTCCAGGCAAGAATACTGGAGTGGGTAGCCTGTCCCTTCTCCAGTGGATCTTCCCAACCCAGGAATAGAACCGGGGTCCCCTGCATTACAGGCAGTTTCTTTACCAGCTGAGCCACCAGGGAAGCCCCATAGTAGATAGGAACACTGACTTTTCCTGTGATACACGCAGAAGTCTCACCTGAGGCATTTGTCTGTCGACACCAGTTCAAGAAATCTCCGAGCCTGCCATATAGAACGTTGCAGAGCGGCACAACACGGCGGCCGTTCTCTGCGTAGCTGGTGACGAGGAGGTGGTTGTTTTCCCAGAACAGGGACTAAGGAAAAATCAACACAAAATGAAAACATTAAAAAATCACAACAGATTCCTTCAGGCACAGCATCATGAAGACAACTCAGGACTTGTCTCATTCAACTGAGACTTGCCTTACGACAGGCAAATATTGTCTTTGTCTTTACTGACCCCCTTGGGGAGGGCTGCGCACTCTCTTGTTTATTGCAGGTGCGTGTTAGTTGCTCAGTCATGTCTGACTCTTTGTGACCCTATGGGCTGTAGCCCGCCAGGCTCCTCTGTCCATGGGATTCTCCAGGCAAGAATACTGGAGTGGGTTGCCATTTCCTTCTCCAAGGGAACTTCCCGATCCAGGAATTGAATCCAGGTCCCCCACACTGCAGGCAGATACTTTACCGACTGAGCTACGTGGGAAACCCAACCCAGGGATCAAATCTGGGTCTTCTGCATGGCAGGCAGATTCTTTACCATCTGAGCCACCAGCAAACCTCTTTATTGCAAGGGTATCATGCAAATGCTAATGAAATATTTTCCCAGCAGTTAAAAAAAGTAGATAGGTATTCCCTGATGGCTTAGATGGTGGCTTAGATGGTGGCTCAGATGGTGGTAATGCAAGAGATGTGAGTTCAATCCCTGGGTTGGGAAGATCCCTTGGAGAAGGGATTGGCTACCTACTCTAGTATTCTTGACTGGAGAACCCGGGGACAGAGGAGCCTGGTGGGCTATAGTCCATGGGGTCGCAAAGAATTGGACGTGGCTGAGTGATTAATGCACACCAGCTCTCTTCCCTTTATTGCAAGGGTAACATGTAAATGTTAAGAAATATTTTCCCAGCAGTAAAAACAAAGTAGATAAGTAGATACATATATATAGGCTTCCCTGGTGGGCCAGTGGTAAAGAATCCGCCTGCCAATGCAAAAGACCTAGTTCAATCCCTGGGTCAGGAAGATTCCCCTGGAGGAGGAAATGGTAACCCACTCCAATATTCTTGACTGGGAAATCCCATGGACAGAGGAGCCTGGTGGGCTACAGTCCGTGGGGTCACAAAGATTTGGACATGACTTAGTGACTAAGCACACACACACATATACTTACATTGTCTAGTACTTAAAAAATGATAGATTTTTTTTTTTAATCAAGGGACCTGGTTTTGAATCTTGGGTCTGTCACACCCTAAATGTGTGATCATGAACACGGCAAGTCATCTCCCTGTGCCTCAGTTTCCACACATGGAAAATGGGGAGTATGAACCCTTTCTCTTTTCTCATAGCTGTGACTAAGATGACATATAATCACAGATGGATTCCTAAAGGGTAAGGTGCCTCAAAAACATATTGCTTTTAGATTATACTTTATAGTTTTCTCCTATAAAGTTACAGTGTTTTCAGACACTAATAACACAAATGACAATACTTCCCTCATCACACCATCATATCCTCAGTATCCCAACCAGGGTCTCGGTCTAGACTGGATGGTACCCAAGGGCAGACTGTGTTCCCTATTGCATCTGAAACCCTGAGAACAATGCTTGGTACATAAGAGTAGCTCAGTGTTCATGAATCTCAATCAAAGTCTATGAGAAAGGAGAACAAATATAGCAGCTCCTAGGCACTCCCCTGAGCCTTCCCAGGTGATGCTAGTGGTAAAGAACCCAGCTGCCAATGCACCTAAGAGATGCAGGCTCCATCCCTGGGTCAGGAAGATCCCCTAGAGAAGGGCATGACAACCCACTCCAGTGTTCTTGCCTGGAGAACCCCATGGACAGAGGAAGCTGGTGGGCTACAGTCCATGGGGTCACAAAGAGTCAGCCATGACTGAAGCGACTTAGCATGCATGCATGCAGGCACTTTTCTGGCAGTCCAATGGCTACGACTCTGCACTTCCATTGCAGGGGTTGCAGGTTTGATTCCCAGTCAGGGAACTGAGATCCTTCATGCTGCACAGTGCAGCCAAAAAGAAAGAAAAAACAGTAACAGCTCCTCTTTTCACTGACAGAATGACTGCAAGATTCAAATGGCAGCATATATTCAAAAGCATGTTTTCAGCCTATTATACATTTGAACCTCCCAGTTCCATTCACCTGCTTTTACCTAAAAAAAAAAAAAAAAACCCTCAGATGTTTTCATTTGTAAACATCAGTGCTACATGACTTTACAATGAAAAAAAATCAAGTTTTTATGTCAAAACTAAATATGTCCTTCATTAAGAAAAAAAGAATTTATGTCAGAGAAATAAAAATGGTATCTAGCTTTCTCTAAATTCAAGGTGGTGTTCTAAATAAGCAGTTTACAAGGATGTTTTCATTTACTTTCAATGTATTAGGGATTAGAGAGCCGACAGGATACACACACATAAACCACTTGTGTACATGTTAACCAGTTTCTAAAAGAAACTGGTCCTGAATGGACATCGTCTTAAGGCCTAATGAGAGGAGGGACTGGTCTCCTGGAAGGATATTGAAGGGGGGTGTTTCTGAAGTCCTCAAGGTTCAAGCCTCTGGGGTAGGTTAGGATGGAGACTATTCAGAACTGGCCAGGTGCAGCGGTCCCGCGGGAAATGTGTGGTGACACCCTGATGTTCTAGTGGTTCCTGCACTGAGTTCTTGACTTAAGAAAGCTCCTTCTGAAAAAAAAAAAAAAGAAGAAGAAGCTCCTTCTGCCCATGACAAGGAGGAGATGCAGGGGCACGAGTGAAGACTGAGCCGCCTTCCCACCAGCCAACTGGCACTCCTTGGGAGTTGGCTGCTTGATGAAGCAGAGCAGTGTCCGAAGGCAGAGTTACCTTGTCTCTGGGAATGGAGTGTCTGGAGAGGTTAATAAAAAGGTCGTAATCCGAGGGGCGCACAGAACAGGGATCCTTATCCAGCCCCACTTTAAAGGCTTCCCAGATGGCTGTGCAGTTCTTGTCCCTGCAGAAAAGCACATGTTTGTTTGGGGTTTTTTGTTTTTTTTTAAAGACTACATTCCAATGTGATACATTTCCTCTTCTCTCTCCAAGTTTTTTTATGAGCGATTTTGTCAAATATCAGCACTGCAGAAGTGGGCATACAAAAAAGACAGGAAATTGCCATGACTCATGCATTGACCCCAATTCAGAAGAGGAAGAAAAATAACTTTGGTGATGGATTTAGAAATCTGACAGTGGAAGTGTCTTTCAGAGGTGCCATATACATCTTGTGGAACTTAGAACAGGCTCACAGAGATGGCAGAAAATGCAGGGAGCTAGAAGGAGACAATTCCAATAAATCACATGGGCTCCTGGCTTCAGGTGCCCCTTCACTTAGACACAGGTCCATCTTGGGCTTGGAGGCCAGGTGAGATCAGGAGGACAGGCAGGACCTTGTGTTAATAAAATCAGGAGTGAGGACCAAGTGTGGAAAAATTCCACCTCCCACTAAGGCAGGAAGCATGACCTACAGAGCCCGCAGCAACTCCTAAGTCCCGCCTGGCTTTCCAAAAACACTTCCCACCCTTTTCCTACCTTGTTATTTCTCACGCTGGGTAGTGAATAACATGAATTCACTGTTATTCATAACAGTGAATAACAGCGCACTCAATAACATGTTCCCTGTGTTACTCTCTGTTCTTTTTTATTTGCCTAAAATGCGTCTCAATAAAAACAAATGGCACAAGAAAGGGGCCTTGTGAAAACTGAAAAGGTGTGTCCCAAGAAGGAACAAAAATTACTAAGAACCCAGTGCTGGCAAGAAAGACTCAGACTTTTAAACGGCCTGTAAATGAGGAGATGTGAAATGTGAACTCCCAAAGGAGTTGGGCTCCGGGAATTCCAGCTGGAGACCACGTTCCTGGGTCTGAGCATTCTGCTTAAATTTTAAGCTGGTTGTGATCCAAACACACCGCTGCCGCATCCTCATCCACCAGCCCCCACACATACCCCCCTCTTCATCTTTACACACTTACACACACACACACACACACACACACGACTCACCTCCAGACCCCAACAGCGCACTCAGGCATCCAGTAGATTCCCCACCTCCTCCCTCTCCACCCCACACACCTCCCCATTTATCTCAGCCCCCCTCCCCCTTACCCCACCCCTCCCCCCTTTTCCCATCCCTCCCTTTCCCCTCCCCCTCCGCCTTTCCCCTACTCCCCTCCCCGTCCCGTTCCCTAGCCCCCAGCCGCGCTCACCGCAGCTCCGGGTTCAGCAGCGCGATCTGCTCGGCGCAGCGGCCCAGGAAGATGCTCTGCAGGTGCGGGGTGGTACCCGGCCCGCTCCAGCGCGCATCCGCAGCGCCGGCGACCAGGGGCCACCGCAGATGCAGCAGCAGCAGCAGCAGCAGCGCCGGCCGCGGGCGCCCCCCGCGTGCGCGCCCCAGGCCAGCCATCGCTGGCTCTTCGGGCGACTCTGCTCCGGGACCCGCCCCTCCCCTCCCAGCCCGGTTGAGCGGCCCCTGCGCCGCCCTCTTAGCCCAATCTGCACCCGCCCTCACTTCCTGTTCCCCCTTTCTGCTTCAGCTCCGGGACCGAGTTGGGACATCACCCCGGGCAGGACTACTGCCCTCAGCTAACCGTGGCCGGAGTCCACCGGGAGGGAGCTCCCAAGAAGCAGCCAGGTTGGAGGAGGGGTGGGACAAGTTCAGTCCCCCAAGGGAAGCTTTTTCCAAGTTTCACACCGACAGCTTTCAAAGACGCCCTCTTTCTCAACGGCCCAATAAGTGAATGATGTTTGCTTTCAGGAAATAATAACCACAAAAGCTATTATTTATTACAAAGTGCCAAGCCCCGAGTGCATATTTTTCATTGCCTTTTCACAATGCCTCTCTGGGCTAGATTTATCACTCCCTTTTACAGGTGAGTACCTTCAGGGAAATAAAGTAACTTGTTGAATGTTACAGAGTCCTTTCCAGATAGATGCAGAATTCCTGAGATATCAGTGCAGGGAGCTAAGATTAGCAGAACTCCACGTGGAGGGCCAAGTCCTCAGTCCCTCGGTGATGATAGCTTTGAACTGTCTGGCAGACAAGTGATAAATGTGGGAGGTCTGTGAGAAGTAGGGTGGGAGGATTCTAGAATTTACATTATTAAATTTAGATTTAATAAATTTAACTTTTAATGGAAAAATAATTTACCATTATTAAATTTACATTTAATAGTTTACAGCATTTACATTATTAAAATTTTATTTTAATCTCCTTTTTTTCTGTTTTTGAAGTTTTAATCAAAACCCTCATTGTCCTGTCCAGTCCCTCCCTAACTGAAGTCCACTTTCCAGAAATAAGCATTTTAAATTTTTTCAGCAGGTTTTTTTTATTCCCCTAGTATTGACTTCCACATTTCCAAATAATAAACCTATATGCTGTTTCTTGATGTTTCCGTCTTGGATAGTATCTTTGACTTCCCACTGTGGAAAAGGAAATTTGAACTTTAACTCCACATATCCTCAAAAGGCAGCCTTAGGACTTCCCTGGAGATTCAGCAGCTAAGACTTCATGCTCCCAATGCAGGGGACCTGAGTTCGATCCCTGGTCAGGGAACTAGATCCCACAAGCTGCAACTAAAAGTTTGCATGCCACAGCTAAAGATCTCCCACGCTGCAACTAAAGATCTCTCATGCTGCAATAAAGACCTAGTGCAGCCAAATACACTGGGGGGAAAAAATGCAGCCTTCTGTATCTTTCTTTAGGCAAGTCTTTTTTTTTATTTTTAAGATTTATTTATTTATATTATGGCTTCCTTTGTAGCTCAGTCGGTAAAGAATCTGCTTGCAGTGCAGGAGACCCAGGTTCAATCCCTGGAGAAGGAAATGACAACCCACTCCAACATCCTTGCCTAGAAAATCTCATGGACACAGGAGCCTGGTGGGCTATAGTCCATGGGGTCGCAAAGAGTCGGGCATGACTGAGCAACTAACACTTACGTACTTACTGTTACGGCTGCACTGGGTCTTGGTTGCCTGCAGTCTTTCTCTAGTTGCAGTGAGCAGGGACAATTCTAGTTGTGGTGCACAGGTTTCTCCCTGATGTGGCTTTTCTCCTGGTGGAGGACAGGTTGTAGAGCTCAGGCACTTCAGTCCTGTGGTGTGTGGGCTTAGCTGCTCTGAGGCATGTGTGATCTTCCTGGACCAGGGATCGTTGGCAGGCAGATTCTTTATTACTGAGCCACTAGGGAAGCCTCCAGGTAGGTTTTTTTTTCCCCCAGGTAGTTTTTATCAAAAGCTTTAACTCTGTAATCAGTATTTACATTATTACGACTTGTGAGTATGTAATACTTGGGCCACCTGATGTGAAGAACAGACCCATCTGAAAAGACCCTGATGCGGGGGTTGATTGAAGGTGGGAGGAGAAGAGGACAACAGAGGATGAGATGGTTGGATGGCATCACTGACTTGAGGAACATGGGTTTGAATAAACTCTGGGAGTTGGTGGTGAACAAGGAGGTCTGGCGGGCTGTGGTCCATGGGGTCGCAAAGAGTCAGACATGACTGAGTGACTGAACTGAACTGAACTGTGAGTATTATTCATGGTTGAATTGTAGTATTCTATGGTTCTGTTTCCTTTCTTGTGAACTTCATGCTTACCCTGGAAGTAGTCAGTCTCTCCCATCATTCCCCACCACTGGCTTATTTGTTTGTTTGGTGTAATATGTACACGTATGATTATGGTCAAATTCTCTACAAGGCTTGTAAATCCCTCAATGCATTTTAAAGCATCAGTCAATATTTCAAGTGTCTCATGCTCTCTTTCTTTTTGCTTCTTGGAAACATCCTTTCTTGTCCAGTTTACTGTCCCAATCTGAACTCACTGCTCTCAAGTTGCTGCATAGCTGTCTTGCAGTGGTCCAGGAAGATGCTGGTTCTCCTTTGTCTTGAGTTGATGTCCTGTTTCCTAGATCTCCTGTCTTCTTTCTTGTTTTTTAGATCACATCTTCCAATAGCATCTTCAGAAGATGCCCTAGGGGCTAAATTTTTTGACTTTTGCATAATAATGTAAAATGGCATTATTCTACCCTCACACTTCACTGAGAGTTTGGTTGGAGAGAATTTTAAGTTGAAAATCATTTTCCCCTCAAAATTTTGAAGGTAGTGCGCCACTGTTTTCTGATATCTATGTTATTGTTGAAAGAGCCAAGGCCATTTTCCTAATCGTGAATCCTGTTTATTTGACTTTCTCTCTGGAAGTCTTTAGGATAAATCTCAAGAGTATGAAATTTCAGAGATGAACTTGAGAGCAAGCCATTTCCATTCATTGTGCTGACAGCTCTGGGAAGGATGCTTCCAAAAGAAAAAAACAAACAAAAACAGAGAAAACGACAGACAGAGTGAAAGAAATCACCTGAAGTATTGACTAATGCTTCTGAATGTATTGAGAGATTTATACATCTTGCAGATAATTTAACCATGATTACAGATGTATGTGTTAACAGAATACAAACCAAATAAACTTGGGAGAAGGGAGACAATTATTATCTCTCAGTTAAGTAAGTTTACAAGAAAAAAACATAATCACAGAATACTCTAAGCTCAGCAATGAATAATATTCATGAGACACAATAATGTAAATGCTGACTACCGCTTTAACACTTACATCCAGAAATTAGAAGGAATTCAACAACTCAAAAATAAGAAAAAACCACCCAAATTTTTAAATGGTATCTGCTTTTAAAATATGAGCAGAGAGCTCACCAAGGAAGATATTCTACTACTAGGTATTTGCCAAAGAAAAAAATGAAAATATGTCTGGAGTAACAGGCAAATTTGGCCGTGGAGTACAAAGTGAAGCAGGGCAAAGGCTAACAGGGTTTTACCAAAAAAATGCACTGGTCATAGCAAACACCCTCTTCCAACAACACAAGAGAAGACTCTGGGTCTTCCCAGTGCACCAGGCTAGAAGCACTTGTCTCATGCATCCAACCTGGGCTGGTGATCTGTTTCACCATAGATAATATACATGTTTTGATGCTGTTCTCTCGAAACATACCACCCTTGCATTCTCCCACAGAGTCCAAAAGTCTGTTCTGTACATCTGTGTCTCTTTCTGTTTTGCATATAGGTTTATCTTTACCATCTTGCTAATTTCCATATATATGTGTTAGTATACTGTAATGGTCTTCATCTTTCTGGCCTACTTCACTCTGTATAATGGGCTCCAGTTTCATCCATCTCATTAGAACTGATTCAAATGAATTCTTTTTAATGGCTGAGTAATATTCCATGGGTAGAGAGGGAGGTGGGAGTGGGGATCGGGATGGGGAATACATGTAATTCCATGGCTGATTCATGTCAATGTATGACAAAACCCACTACAATATTGTAAAGTAATTAGCCTCCAACTAATAAAAATAAATGAAAAAAAAAAAAAGACTGTGCATGGACACCACCAGATGTCAAAATCAGATGATTGCATTCTTTGCAGCCAAAGATGGAGAAAGTCTATAAAGTCAGAAAAACAAGACCAGGAGCTGACTGTGGCTCAGATTATGAACTCCTTATTCCAAAATTCAGACTTAAATTGAAGAAAGCAGGGAAAACCACTAGACCATTCAGGTATGACCTAAATCAAATCCCTTATGATTATACAGTGGAAGTGACAAATAGATTCAAAGGGTTAGATCTGATAGGCAGAGTGCCTGATGAACTATGGATGGAAGTTCCTGACATGATACATGAGGCAGTGATTAAGACCAGCCCCAAGAAAAAGAAATGTAAAAAGGAAAAATAGTTGTCTGAGGAGGCCTTACAAATAGTTGAGAAAAGAAGAGAAGCTAAAGGCAAGGGAGATAAGGAAATACATACCCATTTGAATGCAGAGTTCCAAAGAATAGCAAGGAGAGATAAGAAATCCTTACTCAGTGATCAATGCAAAGAAATAAAAGAAAACACTAGAATGAGAAAAACTAGAGATCTCATCAAGAAACTTAGAGACACCAAGGGAACATTTCATGCAAAGATGGGCTCAATAAAGGACAGAAATGGTATGGACATAAAAGAAGCAGAAGATATAAAGAAGAGGTGGCAAAAAAAAAAAAAAAAAGAAGAGGTGGCAAGAATACACAGAAGAACTATGCAAAAAAGATCTTCATGAGCCAGAAAACCACAATGGTATGATCACTCACCTAGAACCAGACATCCTGGAATGTGAAGTCAAGTGGGCCTAAGGAAGAATCACTATGAACAAAGCTAGCGGAGGTGATAGAATTCCAGCTGAGCTATTTCAAATCCTAAAAGATGATGATGTGCAAGTGCTGCACTCAATATGTCAGCAAATTTGGAAAAGACAGCAGTGGCCACAGGACTGGAAAAGGTCAGTGTTCATTCCAATCCCAAAGAAAGGCAATGCCAAAGAATGTTCAAACTAACACACAATTGCACTCATCTCACATGCTAGCA